GCTCTGTAAAAGTTTTCATGCAATGCAGAAGCCCAAGATACCATACATTTGGAAGTCATAAAGTCACACGACTTCAAAAAATTAGCTGAGATTTGGATTATCTACTCATTCACATTCTCCTCCATGACAATCCCAAAGTAGATATTGCTGAGATTTCACTGGAGTTGTTCCTAGCTAACTCTGTCATGCTTGACCCTCCTAATTAATTATTAGTGCCAAAACATTAAGCCTGAAGCCTACTCACATTTTCAAACACTGATTTCCCAAGCAAAGTTAAGTCATCATCCCAACCTTTCCCTATGAGCCGTGGTGCAGCCAGTCTTCCCTTTCCTGGACTGTAACCTCTTCCCTTCTCAGTCTTTTCCTTTCCTGCCATAAATTCAAATGCCACTGCTCCTCTCCAGATTCCTTCTCTCTGCTCTAATAAATTTCCTCTTATCTTTTTGTCTTACTGCCCTGAACTGAATTTACACCTTTGTCTGAAGAAATCTAGTGCTTCTAAAAACATTTTATTATTCCTGGAGTAAGAAGCTCAGGCAATTTCTTCCTGAAAGTAGATTTCATTCCTAGTTTTCTATCTGAACAAACGTTTCTTTAACTGCTTGATTCTTAATTATGCACTGGCTCCATGGGACAATGAGTTAGGAGGCTGACCTTTTAGGTTTGTGTTTCTTACAGAGCAAGCTCCCTTAAAAAAGAATACCTGACTCATTTATTCATTCATTGTCCATTCACTCATTCACTCAGCCAACGAATAACAAACAAAAGTCAACATAATAGGTAAAGGTATAAGATGTGTTTTCTGTCCTTGAGGAGCTTACAGTCTTTTGGCATTTGAATATATAAAATCAAAGGCAATATGAAAGAAGGACCATATGAGCATACATTATATGGTATGAATATATAATACAGAGTTGGATTTGCCCACCCCTAACAAAAAGTAGTTAATTATAAAAGTCAATAACATGTACTTGCGTCTCTCTACAGTTCAAACTGAACAGATCCTTTGACCTTTATATTCCATGAGATCCCTTACTTTACTTTAGTATATGGTAAATAAAGCATAACTTGCCCAGCTTGTTAAGACTTTACTGTTCTGAATATGGAAATCAAAGCATGGTTTTGATTTTCATTCTCAAAACATCTGCTTTATAAAGAAATAAGTTCTTAATAGTGAGTCAAGTTATTTAGAAAACAAACTTCTCTTTTCATTTAGTGCAGGGTAAGTTCCAGTAGTTTCTCCAAGTCACTCGCTATCCTCCTGACTTCCACTTACTGCCTTGATTACGTATGCTTCTGTCTGTCTTAAGATTACAAGACGATGCTTAAATACAAGTACCAAAAAACAGGGCCTGGAAACACAGTAGCCATAAACACCTGCCTATCACCATAGTGTAAATGCTGGTGAGGAAGTTAAAACTGAAGTTGAAGAATTGTGTATTTCAAAGTGCTTTGGTTCATTAAACAGTCATTTTTTATTTTAAACCCATTATATCAGAGCTATTTGCATCGCTACTGAGTGAACTCTGAGATCTATTGTATTCAAAAGCATTTTATTAAGTTATTTTATTTCCTCCCCCAAAAGATGAATAGACCTTCTATTTTAAAATAGAAAAGTTTTGGAAAAGGAGTATTTAATATAAGAGATTTGCTTCACCAAACATACCAGGATTTGAACTAATTTTCACTTAACCTGCATTTCATATTGATCTTTCAGAAAACACATTTTTAGCTTCTTATGGGAGTCTCCCATCTTATTTTCATTGTAGAAAAGAGAGGCATGATCACTCTAGCAAAGCAAAATCACTCCCTAACTAACTACTTTAAAGGACACCTACATTCAGAGGCACACAGCAGCAAACTTTCCACCAGCTCCTATGAGGCATGGTGCTGCAGAGGGCTGGGGACCTACAGTAGGACACTCACCAGCACTGCACCCCATGGCCTGTCTGCATAACCAGACACCTACCACTTGCTTTGGTTTCCGGGTAAGTGGGGCCGTCCTCAAAAGTGAAGATCTGAGGCATGCTCTGGCCCAGGTAGGAGGGAGGCGGATAATAAGAATGCATCCTGTACTGGGAACTCACTGCATGGCGGTTCTCCGAGTTTTTCATCTGCTCAAGAAAAAAGAAAGAATATATAAGATCAAAGTTGTATTTTACAATTAGTACAATCATTGCCAATTCTTTGAATTAAGGGAATAGTCTTATTAAAATTGAGGGTATCCTCAATCAAAATGTGCCCCTCCAGGGTACTGACCCTAGAAATACTAGAACTGTGCATCCTTAAGGTACCTCTTCTTTCTTAGCCTTCTAGCTGGTCTCCCTGCTTCCACCTTGTATGTGTACAGTTTATTCCTAAACAATAGCCAGAATGATCCTTAAAAACCACAAGACAGACTTGTCACCCTTTGCCAAAACCCTCCAATGGCTTCCCATATCATCTGAAATAAAAGCCAAGTGCTTGCAGTGGCTTGCAAAGCTCTACATGACCAGACCCCACCATCTCTCTGATCTCCTTCCTAAGACATTTCAGGATATGGAAAGAGGAGGGAATGGCTCCTAGCCTTTTTACAAAGAAAAACATTAAATGGTAGCAACATGTCCAAAGGAAAACGTTCCCAGTAATTCCTTCCCCAATACAGTCTATTTTCAGGTTGCAATCTTCAGCAAAACCAGAGTAAAACCTTCAGCTTAGACTTGTTTCTTTAAATGGGAAAGAGAAGGTAGGCTTATCTTTGAAGAAACTGAATAAAAAGGGATTTAATGGACAAATTTATACTTAAGAATTGAAAAAAATCATTAAACCTACTGAAAACACTGTTTTCCACATTACTTAGAAGTCCCCACCCTCTAGGCCCTGCCACTAGCCTCAGCTGCTTAGCAGAAGGGCCTAACTTGCCCCCAAAATGCTCCCCACTTACATCACTGCTGATGATAAAACTGTGTCTCCAGTGCTCCAAGAGATGACCCCTCAAGTGCCTTCTTTGATCCCCAGACACAACTTTCTCTTCCCTCTTTCCTTCCTACCTGCTCTGTAAAAGTTTTCATGCAATGCAGAAGCCCAAGATACCATACATTTGGAAGTCATAAAGTCACACGACTTCAAAAAATTAGCTAAGATTTGGATTATCTACTCATTCACATTCTCCTCCATGACAATCCCAAAGTAGATATTGCTGAGATTTCACTGGAGTTGTTCCTAGCTAACTCTGTCATGCTTGACCCTCCTAATTAATTATTAGTGCCAAAACATTAAGCCTGAAGCCTACTCACATTTTCAAACACTGATTTCCCAAGCAAAGTTAAGTCATCATCCCAACCTTTCCCTATGAGCCGTGGTGCAGCTGGTCTTCCCTTTCCTGGACTGTAACCTCTTCCCTTCTCAGTCTTTTCCTTTCCTGCCATAAATTCAAATGCCACTGCTCCTCTCCAGATTCCTTCTCTCTGCTCTAATAAATTTCCTCTTATCTTTTTGTCTTACTGCCCTGAACTGAATTTACACCTTTGTCTGAAGAAATCTAGTGCTTCTAAAAACATTTTATTATTCCTGGAGTAAGAAGCTCAGGCAATTTCTTCCTGAAAGTAGATTTCATTCCTAGTTTTCTATCTGAACAAACGTTTCTTTAACTGCTTGATTCTTAATTATGCACTGGCTCCATGGGACAATGAGTTAGGAGGCTGACCTTTTAGGTTTGTGTTTCTTACAGAGCAAGCTCCCTTAAAAAAGAATACCTGACTCATATATTCATTCATTGTCCATTCACTCATTCACTCAGCCAACGAATAACAAACAAAAGTCAACATAATAGGTAAAGGTATAAGATGTGTTTTCTGTCCTTGAGGAGCTTACAGTCTTTTGGCATTTGAATATATAAAATCAAAGGCAATATGAAAGAAGGACCATATGAGCATACATTATATGGTATGAATATATAATACAGAGTTGGATTTGCCCACCCCTAACAAAAAGTAGTTAATTATAAAAGTCAATAACATGTACTTGCGTCTCTCTACAGTTCAAACTGAACAGATCCTTTGACCTTTATATTCCATGAGATCCCTTACTTTACTTTAGTATATGGTAAATAAAGCATAACTTGCCCAGCTTGTTAAGACTTTGCTGTTCTGAATATGGAAATCAAAGCATGGTTTTGATTTTCATTCTCAAAACATCTGCTTTATAAAGAAATAAGTTCTTAATAGTGAGTCAAGTTATTTAGAAAACAAACTTCTCTTTTCATTTAGTGCAGGGTAAGTTCCAGTAGTTTCTCCAAGTCGCTCGCTATCCTCCTGACTTCCACTTACTGCCTTGATTACGTATGCTTCTGTCTGTCTTAAGATTACAAGACGATGCTTAAATACAAGTACCAAAAAACAGGGCCTGGAAACACAGTAGCCATAAACACCTGCCTATCACCATAGTGTAAATGCTGGTGAGGAAGTTAAAACTGAAGTTGAAGAATTGTGTATTTCAAAGTGCTTTGGTTCATTAAACAGTCATTTTTTATTTTAAACCCATTATATCAGAGCTATTTGCATCGCTACTGAGTGAACTCTGAGATCTATTGTATTCAAAAGCATTTTATTAAGTTATTTTATTTCCTCCCCCAAAAGATGAATAGACCTTCTATTTTAAAATAGAAAAGTTTTGGAAAAGGAGTATTTAATATAAGAGATTTGCTTCACCAAACATACCAGGATTTGAACTAATTTTCACTTAACCTGCATTTCATATTGATCTTTCAGAAAACACATTTTTAGCTTCTTATGGGAGTCTCCCATCTTATTTTCATTGTAGAAAAGAGAGGCATGATCACTCTAGCAAAGCAAAATCACTCCCTAACTAACTACTTTAAAGGACACCTACATTCAGAGGCACACAGCAGCAAACTTTCCACCAGCTCCTATGAGGCATGGTGCTGCAGAGGGCTGGGGACCTACGGTAGGACACTCACCAGCACTGCACCCCATGGCCTGTCTGCATAACCAGACACCTACCACTTGCTTTGGTTTCCGGGTAAGTGGGGCCGTCCTCAAAAGTGAAGATCTGAGGCATGCTCTGGCCCAGGTAGGAGGGAGGCGGATAATAAGAATGCATCCTGTACTGGGAACTCACTGCATGGCGGTTCTCCGAGTTTTTCATCTGCTCAAGAAAAAAGAAAGAATATATAAGATCAAAGTTGTGTTTTACAATTAGTACAATCATTGCCAATTCTTTGAATTAAGGGAATAGTCTTATTAAAATTGAGGGTATCCTCAATCAAAATGTGCCCCTCCAGGGTACTGACCCTAGAAATACTAGAACTGTGCATCCTTAAGGTACCTCTTCTTTCTTGGTAAGGACCCCCCCCCAAAATCCCCTCTGCCCATATAATGCTCAATTCACAAGTACCAGAAGAGAGGCAGTAGAGGAGAGAGTGCTACTTAAGAGCAACACAATCGGCTATAGCCCTGACTAGCTTGTTCAACCAAAGGTAAGTCACTTAATTTCCTCCTGCTCCCTCAGGTGCCAAACTGGCATCTTACCTCAGTTACCTCAGTGTCCATACAAAGAGAATACTTTTTAAACAACAACATACAAAATGTGTGTAAGCGTAAGCTGCTATCATTAGTGTGATGCCATGCTGGATATTGTCACGGTGTCCATTCCCACCCCCTCACATGCTTTTCCTTGTAAGAAGGGATGTCAGTCTGGGATCACTGTTTCCCAGACTCTCCTGTTATCAGGGCTCTGGAGTGAGGTGGGTTCTGCTAACAGGACATGGGGTCAGACTTGGAAGGCAGAAGGGAGACACGTGCTGGCCCTCCAGCGGCAGAACGAGCTGACGCTCAGAAGTCATGCATTTTTCTGGCAATCAGACCTCGCCTTTGGAACTGCAGGGGGCGCTTTCATGTAAGGAGCAGCTCTTCTCGGCCTCTCGTTCAAAGCTAAGGAGATGGGACCTGAAGGCTCAGGAGGGGCCCCTACTTCTGCTTTCCTGGCCTTTCCAACTCCACAGCAAGAACAGCTGGACTTCAATCATTTACACTGCATTTAAAAAATAATTTACATGGTACTAACTTTATTTTTAAAAAGTCCATCTAGGGAATGTTTGGGATAAACCAATTATATTCAAGAACTAAGGACTAATTAAGGATGTTTGTCAATCAACAATTTTACTTGATAAAGAAAATAGTAGTAATTTGACAGAGCATAGCAGAGTAAAATTAGGTACCAGGTGTCCTCAGGATTGTTTATGACCATCTAAATTTTGGACAATTTGTCAATTAATCCAGACCTAAGTGTACTCTGAATATCACTGCATTGTTTGGTGGAAAGGACCATGTCTCTGATTTCTGTGTTGCTGAAAGGATTCGTTTTTGACCCTCTCACTGTTCCCCAGCACAAATTTAAGCTCTGATGGGTAGATTATTTCTTCCTGGAGAAGCAAAGAGGACTCCATTATACTCAATTATTTTCTTTCAAGTGACTTTTCTGTGGCAAGTTCCCTTCATCTTTTCTAGTTTGTTTTTGAAGCATATGAAATGGTAGCTCTTCTAGTTCAATCACCCAGTTGTCATTTCCCACCGCCATATAAATCTTTACTACATAAGAGTACAAGCAAGCTATGCTTGGAAGTAGCCAAAGGGGAAAACTGGCTGCCCTTAATGAGTGAGCTCAAGTCAGGGGAGACCCTGAGGCTGTGCAATCACTGAACAGAGAGGTGACAGTCAAAGTCAAATTTACTGTACAAAACCGTTGTCAGTTAGACCAGCACATCCCAGGGCTCTCCCAGATGGCCTGGGGATGCTGTAAGTAGATTCTGAGTCAGTGAGTGTGAGGTGGGGCCTCGGAGTCAACACACCCCCAGGAAATGCTGATTCTAGCTCAAAGACCTTGCTTTGCTCACAGAGGATTAGAATAAATGATCCTTTCTCTTTTATTTAGGACCTTTGGGAGCCTGTGACTAAAAAAGACCCTCTAAAAAACTCTTTGACCTATTGTTCATAACCACAAACTTTCCTCCTGAACTGAGGCAGGGTGGAAATGACACAAACAGCATTTAAAATTGGTCATTTTTCTTCTTTTTATACATTAGATTCCCCAAAGCTAAAGGATTTTTTCAGGGTCTGCTGCCATCTGGAATTGCTGCAATGGTAACAAACTCAAATACACATTAAATAGAAGAGCCATTTCTGCTTCCACAGACATCCCTCAAGTCAGTTACACAAAGTAATGAACACCGAATTAGAAGCCAAATGCCAACTTCTCTATGCAAAGAGCCATAACATAAATGACGGAGCCTCCCTCTGGGTGCTGAGTTGGTCACATCTCCTTCCAGTTTGACTGTTTCTTTGAGTCAGTTCTTCAAGGAAAATATTTATTTTCCCGATGTACAAAATACCTGACAGGATTTGAGCCTGTAGATTCTGTAAAATGCTGGATTTTTTTCTTTTACTCTGAAGCTTGTATAAAGCCTTTTTTCAAAATGTTTGAAAAATGTTCAGTTAGTTTAGAGCGGGTGTCAGCAAGTTTTTGGCAAATGGCCAAATAGCAAATACTTTAGGCTTTGCAAGCCATAGGGTCTCTAGACAAATGGTAAAGTGGGCATGGCTGTGTTCTAATAAAACTTTATAGAAAGGCACAATGCTTCACTCCTACTGGAATAAAGGGAGGAGGGGACCCAACAATGGGCTCCATCCCTAGAGGATCTGGTTTCACTGGTTGGGATATAGCCTGGGCTCTGGGGTACTTCACAGCTTCCCAGGTACTTCTGATGTGACACCAAGATAGCAAACCAGTGTTCTAGAATTACTGACATATTTCCCACACTCCTGAGAAGTCTGAGATACCAACATTCCCAGTATGAACTAAAAAATGCAAAAAGTTAAGTCTAGCAGACTAGCCAACTGCTGCCATTATCAAGTTGTATATTATTTGAAAAGAGATTAAGATAAACTGTAGAGTTCTTTTCACTTTTTCTGTTAAGTAAAACTTACCAAAAAATAAACACGATTTCAAACATGTGTTTATTTTTCCCCTTAAGCCTTTTTCTGTTTTTAGAAAGCATCAGATTATTTGGAAATAGGAATTGAGTTGTCTGAACTCAGACATTCAATTTCCCCCAATGAATCCCCAAGATTATTGAACTTTGAAAGATTTCCAGCAAAAGAAGAAAAAGATACAAAGGGCCAGACATCGTTTGAGGTTATTAAAACGTGAACTTATTAGGCCATTGATCACTTCAGCTACAACCAACTTGAAGAATATCCACTAATAACCATCTATGTGACAACTTGGACCTAAGAAAGGGGGACAGTTCTATGTAGTATTTCAGAGAGCATGTGTATGTAAATATCTGAAACATGAAGTTAAAACTGAATGGTGATCCATCCAGAAAGCCCAGAAAAGATGTGGCAGGATGCAATTTAAAATGGTAGCTCACTTCTTGCTCCCTTCTAACTTAAAATAATTTCAGTGCTGCTACCCGTGGCTTAGACAAAATGTGTAAATAAGGACATCTTTGAAATTTGTTGTTTGACTTTAAGTCAATAGAATTCATCTGGGGACAATTTGCCCCAGGGAACATTTTGCAAAATCTGGAGACACTTTTGACTGTCGCAACTGCTGTATTTATGTGTGTGTGAACATGCATGCTAGTGTGTGTGTGTGTGCTACCAGCATCTAATGAGTAGAGAACAGGGACGCTGCTAAACACCTTACCATGCACAGGGCAGCCCCTGTACAACTTAGAAGTATCCAGCCCAATATTTCAATAGTGCCAAAGCTGAGAAAAGCTGCTTTAAATGAGTCTAATACTATCCCTTGTGCTCAGCCCCTCAGCTCCAGCTAAACCAGCAATGTTATAAGGGAGAGAAGTTGTACTCAAATCAGAGGAACTGCTCAGTTCTGCTAAAAGGATGTGATTTTTTCCCATTATCTAATGCTGCCTCGTTTCTTTTCAATATTTTATTTTTCATTCCTTTAAACAGGCTGAGTAAACCCTAAAAACCTAGGATTCCCCAGTGAATTATGACTACTATTATGATTAGCATGTGGTAGCTGGCAAGCAAGAAGCATGTTTTACAATCTTATTACCCACCCCAAGTCTCTGAACCAGAGTATGACCTACAGATGGCAGGTGGGCCAGTGGAGGACGTGCTCAGTGTTAGTATCAACCCCAGAGGAAAACCTAAGAGCTTTTGATTTTATTTTATTAAACTGTTGATGACATTCAATGCCATAAATCTGAACCATAGGTGTCCTTTTTATATACCTTTGTCACCCTTTTTTATAGTAATAGTAAAATCTCAACAAAACATAAAAATGTTAGACCCCACGTTCTGCAACAAAAATTCTTCTAAATACTCTTCAGTGGTTGTCTGTTAATGCTGCAGAAAGGAAGAGTCTATTCTTATACTGAACAGAACACTCCAGGCAGGTAATGACAAAAGAGTTTCGCAAGACCAAATCAGTGTAGAGCTGTTTGTTAAGCACGGCTCAGCTGTAGAGCATCAGTGGTGGGGACAAAGGAAATGTGCTTCATGAGCAGAATGACTGTATTGGATAAAACTCTTGACTCACAAACTCTGCTGTTTAAACATATAGTGTGACCATTCCTTTGGCATCAACATGTGGCTCACAGTTTTTAACTTGCAAAAGCCACATTTGGGACTTATGAACTGAAAGCTTTTTATAAAAGGCAGGGATCTTTGCACGCTAAGGAATCCTGCCTCTGGATGATGCTAAGAGTTTTGCCCTCATGAAAAGATTTCTTTAGTTTTAGTAGAAGCTTCTTTTCAAACCTTCTGAATGGGATGCCTGTTTCCACACTCACATAATCACATGGTGAGCCCGCTAGGTCCACAGACCTTACCTGTGCCAGGAGCTGTACCAAACTACCTTTCTCCTTGAAATGCCCACTCTCCTCCTGAAATACACACCTCATTCATCCTCTGAGATGCCACACCTCACTGCTGGAGCTAATATTTTAACAGGTTAAAAATGATTGCCATTGTGCACCCATTTCAGAGATTACCAAAACATTACAGGGACAAATGCTAAGTCATGTGATAAAAGCAAATATCCTACAGCCACTGTTCAGCATTCCCTGTCCCTGTGGCCCTCTGGGGGTTAGTTTTCTCTCTTCTAAACTCGTTAGC